AATGAGGGATGCCTGTAGTTTCAACGACCGTTAGTTTGCAAGAACAAATTCAAGGGAGAAAGACGTAGCAGTTATCCCCTTTCTATATTTCTTATTATTTTTTGTAAGTTATTTTTTTTAGAATAAGCAAGTCAAACTGACTTGCTTAAGAACCTTTGATTTGATATATGTTTAAAGGACGCAGTATTTCCGAAACATTTTCAAAAATTAAGTTGAAAATGTTCTATTTTTTATACAATGTTTCAAGTTTTGAACGCTACCTATATAAAGGTATATTGTCTAATTTTAATAAAACGTATGTCAAAAGAATGATGTACTTATAATGTATTTCGAAAAAAAAATTTGTTCTGACACATACATTTTTCGAAAAGTTATAGCATTTATAAGTTGAAAATTTAAAATCGAAAATTTTAACACAAATATAGCGTTTTATAAACTACGGCAGCCGTTTGCATGCAGAAGATAAAGTGTCGGGACAAATTATTTTTTTCATTTTATAGTACATAAAATAAGCTTTAATTTGATATATGTTTAAAAGACACAGTATTTCCGGAACATTTTCAAAAATTAACTTAAAATTAAGATGAAAAAATTAATTTTTAGTACAAAAGTTGTCCGTTTTAAATCACCTTTTGAGCAGGAAAAGGGTGAGATATTCAAAAATTTTATATTAAATGAAAAAGAAATACATAATGTGTATATATAAAAAACCCAGCACAAGGGGGTCGCGGCACAGTGATAACGTGGCATAGTTGGATCAAGTAAAATGATATCTGACAGTGATTAAAATTACTATCAAAAATAAACGCTTCGATGCAAATCTTTAGATAGTGTTTAATTTTAAAAAATTGGTGGATTATTCCAAAAGCTTCATAAACTGCTAGTTCCATATTAATATCCTGATTAAGATAAAGTATGCCGAATGAAAAAGGGATTATTAAAAAATAGTATTTCCCATACAAAAATTATATTGATCAATACACTTTTCAATAAGTTATAGCATAATAAAGTTAAAAATGTAAAATACAAAATCGAAAATTTTCACACAAAAATAGCATTCGGTAGCCATTTTCACCGTGAAGACAAAATAAAGTTCGAAATTTTTTACATAATAAAGTAGATTACATTAGCTTTAATTTAAGATATATATAAAAGTGTCAGACTTTCTGGAACACTTTCAAAATTTAAATTGAAAAAGTCAATTTTTTGTGAAAAAGTTGTCATTTTGAATCCCCCCTGTAGGCAGGTAAAAAGTCAGATTTATAAAAAAAATATACCAAATAATATGTAAAGACATCATGCATCTATAAAAAAATGAATTATATTGATATGTTCATTTTTAAAAAAGTTACAGCAATTTTTAGTAAAAAAAATTGAAAAATTTTCGAAAATTAGCCATTTTTAAATTTGTAATTTTTTTGGAGGTTTCCCCCATCTATGGGGAACGAGGGAAATTTTTTCAATTTTTAAGGGTAATGTCTTCGACTAGATATGATTTGTGATCTTTTGACGTATCATTGAAACAAATCGGTTGGGTGAGAGCTGAGAAAAAGTGGTAACAGACACAAAAAAAAAAACACATCTTAGTAAAACCAATACCTTCTCAGCTTCGCATCGAAGCTAAAAAAGTTATTTTGGATCATTCATTCGATTCAGTTGAGAGTATTGATACTATATGTATTTTTATGATTTTCTAGACGGAAAAAATATTACATTTAAGAGTGTAAAAAATTAGTAAAACATATTTTGTTTTTTTACAAAATTATTTTAGGTTTTTAGCTTTATAAGTATTATATTTTTAGCATTATTTATATTTCGTAACAAATAAAAAAATATAACTTTTAATTGGTTTATTATTAATAGTATAAACAAAACCATTTATTTCTTAATAAAAAAAAAGCTGTCATTTTTCTGTTGACTTTTTCAAATAAATTAGTATACAAAAATACAATATACATAAAAAAACCTTTTAGAAAACTTTAGTGATAATATAAAATTACAAATACATATTTTAATAATAAAAATTTATTACAAAAAAATTTTATCATTTCAGTATCACGTTGAAACAAATACATTTTTACATATTGTTAGCTAATTATAAGTATAGAAACTATTACACTACTTTTATAAATATTGACTTACAAATTAAAACTATCAATATTTTAAATAATTATTCAATTAACTATTTATTATTATCTCTATAACATTTATAATCAATGCCTTAACTATAGAAATTTCAATTGAGTATTATAAATTATTACTCAGTAATTATATAAAAATTATAACGTTGTAAATTACAGTTGAGCTACTCAACTCGAACAAAATTGTAAAGTTAACTTAACCTTACTTTTATTTCACGACACATTAATATAACGTCAATCATGGAAGAAATCCTGTTTGAAAAAATAAAAATATTTGGAATTATTAAATAACAAAAAAAACACAGTTTTTAGATATTCAATAATCATAGAATTTTATTTTATTATTTCATTAAAATTTTATCATAAAATATATGTTATAAACCAATAACTTGAGATATTTTTAAATTTAATTCACTAGTATTTTCTGAATCTATTAATGGAATAAAAATTATCATTAGTCATAGTGGACACATTTTTTTACGAACATTAGCACACTATCATCTAACATTAAAATTCTATAATGTATTTTACTGTTTACCTTTTAACATTTTTGCATTAAATTCTATGTCCGTGAACAGTCCGTGGAGTTGTTTAAACCCCCACTTCAGGTTCGCGGACCGGAATTTCGCTATCGAGCGGCGAACATGGTGGCAGATTCGGTAACTGGATTCCTTCAATTAACCAATTATTCTTGTAAAAATTATGTGATTAAACCATTAAGGTACTCTTACCTAAGTTTGAAATTCAAACATGGTTTTATAATCTTGTAATTCATATTTTTAATCTTTTTTTTTTTTTTTTTAAATTTTGGAGACAAGATGTTTTATTGTAAATATGTTTAAATTACTTTTTTACGAATATTAATATCAAAAAAAAAAAATTTCATGCTAAATTTATAACGTTAATGCTCAAAAACCTAACCTCTTTTCTAAAGTTATAAATATAAATTTAAAATCTTTTACTATAAAATGATAAAATACGACTTAAGGCGTCTGGGTACCGACCGCTTTTTATTCAAAAACAACCCTTTTTTGTTCCATCAGTACGACGAAACTACTGATGCGATAAGAATTCTGAAACACATATCTGAATTCAGTCTCATGTCACTTAGGTATCGGTCAGGCCATATTTTTGAAATTTTGATGTTTTTAAACCCATTATTACAGTTTATATTTTCGAATAATTTTTAAATTTTTACGTTGTAGGAATCACAATTTTAAAAAAGTACCGATACCTAAAAGACATGATACTGAATTCAAATTTGTTTTCAGAATTCTTATTGCATCAGAGTTTTTTCGTACTGATGGAACAAAAACGGGTTGTTTTGTACGCTCAAACTAATGGTTTTCAAACAGTAGTTGTTATATGTGACATGCTCGTGCGCGTATGTGCGTTATCCGCAGCAGCTATTTTATTTCCCATAGATTGCTTAGGGCAATACCGACTGCCTAAAAATAGTTACAAATACATACTTGATATTATACCTGTATATGATATTAGATTATTTGCTTTTATCTTATTTGCAAAGCTATCATTACATAGTAAGAAACAAATTTTGTCGTTGTATTCGTATATAAGTGTCGCTAAACAATTGGGAGTCATTAAAAAATATCACCATCAGAAAAAGAAAATAGAGTTAATATATTAACATTATATAAGTGGCGTCAAAAAAAAAATCTGGTGAGGTACGTATATATAAAAATAATATTTGTTGAGGCCACATAAAACATTATAATACGTTTCACTATGCCGCCAATGATACTGAGTCCCTCCTAACAGTGCGCGACAACGGTATAACCACTACCACCATTGATAACGGTTCCAGCAACGTTATCAATCAGCCGGCCACCTGTCACACACAACATATCACCGTAGATTTTAAGGCTAGATTTTTAAGTTCGGTAGAATAAGTGTGGAATACACAATAAAAGATTTTTGGATTTGTAACATTTTTTATTATTCAATATTAGTTTATAGTGGTCATAAGGGCCCTTTAATAAATTAGTCATTTTTAGTCAAACCTGTGATACATATCTGAACTGTGATATTTGTGAATTTTTACTGAACTGTTTAAGAGATTTATGTTTTATTATTGAGAAAATTTGTGTATTGTGGTCATGTTTAATTGTATCATATTATAATTTATGTTTTATTTTTGCGTTATAGAAGCAACTGCCCAGCTAAAGTTTTGTAAGTAGTTGTTTGTATATATATATATATATATATTTAATTTTGTTCATTGAGTGTCTAGTTTGCTCGTATTGATTGTGTTTTATTGAACAGAATTTAGTAAAATATTTATCCTATTGCTAGCATGAGGCTGAGTGCTCCATGACCATAAGGGTCTTGAGAATATAGTTTGTTAAAAGCCATAAGGGTGATTAGTGAATTATATTGTAGATAAATTATTTTGTCTATTAAATTATTGTGTTTTTCTCCCTTTATTTGTCTGTTCAATATCCTATCACTATAAGTAGATAGCTAGTCATTTCTTGTTACTACATTAAAGTTTTTATTACCATTTTAGTTTTATCTTGATTATTTATTGAAGGAGTTATAGTTATTATCGTTTATTTTTTATAAGGTCTATAGCTATAATATATACTACTGAGTTGAATTTTACTACTGTTGAGCCAGAAGGGCTACCTTTTTTTTATTTTACTTATTACTGTTGTTGAGCCAGAAGGGCCACCTTTTTTATAGCTATTTTCATTTATTGTGTATCATTGTTTATTATTATATATTTGTTATTGATTATTATAACCCTTTGAATTATTTATTTACTTAGTTTAAGAGCACACACAAAACATATATACACACAGTTAGGGACGTTGCAATACTACCGATACCAGTAAAGTATCGATACTTTACTTTCGATACGAGTTCTTTTTGTATCGATACCATAGTTTCGATACTTTACTCATATCGGTAAAAAAGTACTAGTATCGAATGAATGGTATCGAATCATTTATTTACCGCCGTACTGCCATATCGGTTTAAAAGTATCAAACAGTTATTTCCAAGTAAAATAGTTTGCGCGTGGTGGGATCGCCGGACCGGTTGGAAATTTACTCAAACAAATCATACAATACGAATACGACTATAATTGTTTCCTAATCGGAATAATAAAGTGCCCGTTTATCGATAAGGCGATAAAGCATCTATTTAATAATACTTTTTACAATGAATTCGGATAAATACTCAAATACTGGATACGGCGATAATTCGGCATTCCGCTTTTCAAATAACACATTCGATCGACTAGTGCGAGTGCGACTACTCGATTTTGCGATGCCGCCTCCCAAGAGTAAATGTTGGATTTATTTTAAAAAAGTTGACAAAGTTAATGCGGAGTGCAAAATTTGCACCCAAAGAGTAAAATACTGTGGCAATACGTCCAACTTAAGTAAACATTTAAAAAAACATCCAAATGTATTGGAACCCGGAACGATTGGTTCAACAAGAAAAACTTGTAAACAATTGAAATTAGATGTGACACCTGTAATTAATCCTGTTTCGTCTCATTGGTAAGTCATTTTATAAATTTATACTTATTTCCAAGTTTTTTTAAAATTACAGTATTGTAAATTTGTAACCTGCCTGTAATACAATATTATATAGGTTGTAATACCAACCTATATGTCTATAGTATATATACTTATAAGTTATACTATACTTGTACTTAAATATAAGATGTATAAATATAATATATTATTTATTATTTCAGTAAACAAACTAGTAATATTGTTCTTTCAACAACCATTGTACAAGATCCCGAATCTGAGACAGAGGTAATAAGAGTAAATGTTTTATAATAAAAATGCATTAATATAAACAAAAAAATTTATTTTAGGAATGTGTAGATGATCCAAATTTAAAACGACCAATTATTGATTCATTTAACCGAATCAGCTCATATGCAGGTGTGTTAATTATGACTTAATATGACAGTATTTTTAATTTTTATATTGGATATTCAGATTTATTAATAAAGAGTGCATTTTTTTAACTAGTTAACTGAGTGATACAAGTGTCGCCCAGGGGTCATATTTTGTCACCTATTTAATAGTTTTTTTAATAACTGGGCGACACAATTTACAAATGAAAAATTTTAAAATTGTATAAAAAAATAATTAAGTAATAACAAAACTCATTTTGTGTTTCAGAGGGTGGTTTCAATCATAGGAAAATCACCATGTATTTACTGTACTTTATTTGTAAAGATTACCGACCTTTTGCTGTTGTAGAAGGAGAAGGATTTAAGAGATTATTCAAAGAATTGGGGCCATCATATAAAATCCCTTCGGTTACAACATTAAGAAATGCTCTTGATAATAAATATGAGGCCACAAAAGAATTATTAAAAGGTTGTTTGTTGGCAGCACCACATGTGTGTATTACATTGGATTCATGGACTGAAACGATGANTATCCTCCGACAATTAATTGAATTATTACAACCATTAGAGTATGTCACAAAAGAATCCTCTGGAGAAAATTACATTACTATCTCAAAAGTGATCCCCATGATTAACTGCCTATTAAAACAACTGGCCCAAACCCAACCAAGATTTGATGTGTTGATCGAAATTAAAGATATGTTACATACAGAAATAGTTAGAAGATTTGGACTGATTGAGCAAGTAAAACCAATCGCCATTGCTACAATTTTGGATCCAAGATTCAAAAATCTTCACTTTACCGATCCAATTGCTAGTTCAAGTGCAATGGCAGAACTTCGAAGATTATTATTGCCAGATTTATCATCTAGCGAATCTGAAGGAGAGATGATATCTAAAGAACATGTGGATAGTTATGATTTTTGGGCTCACCATAAAATGTTAGCTCATGGCCAGAAAAAGAAAAAATCTTCATTTACATATGATGAGTTATCTCAATATCTATCCAACCCTGTCTGTCCACTAAAGTCAAACCCCTTAGAGCTCTAGGAAGATATGAAAACAGTCTTTCCCATGTTATATAAGCAATCAAGAATATCTTTTACGATGGTTGCAACATCTGTTCCATTCGAAAGACTGTTTTCAAAAGCCGGACAAGTCATAACCAAAACGAGAAACCGTCTAACAGGTTCTCGTTTAGAAAAAATTTTACTTCTTGCAGATTTACCCGAGGATCAATGGTTTTAAGTTGTAAAAAATAAAATTTTGAATAATGCATAATTTGTATTTTGTATTGTAAATATTTTTACTATTTTATTTTTGATACCTACTTCATAACAATATGTTGTATAATAATTTAGGGTGACCATAATTAGACAATTTAAATACAGGACTAAAATAATTTGCATTATTTTTTTTTTTTTAATAATATTAATTATAGTATTATTATTTCGTTTATTTTTAATCATAATAAAAAACTTAATTTAATATACCTAAAAGCATTTAATATGTGTTTGACATTATTTCTGTTCCTATAAAGCAGGCATAAAACTAATACATGGAAAATTAATAATAATTTTTATTTATTATAATAAATGAACATATGTTTTCATTTACATTAATAATAATTTTTCTGGTTGCATTTTGATTTATAATCTTTTTCTGAAGAATGTATTAAATTTGATAATTTGGGGTTTATCGTGTTATGTAATAATATACCTATAATGTATGTATATAATATAATATACATCTTTGTAACTTATTAGAGTAATTAAAAAACAGGACAAAAAGCCCGCAGATTGCAATTTTGTATACAGTATACTTGTATCCAGCTACCGATACTTTTCTTTCGATACTTACTAATATCGGTCCATTTGTTTCGATATTTTACTCGTATCGGTATTTTAATTCGATTCGATACCAAGTAAAAGTATTGATACTTTTCTTTCGATATTCTATCCCTACACACAGTACACAATTGAGCACTACATAGATCACTGGTTTTGCGCAGGCGACCCCTCCCATCACCAGTGATTCTATTACCACACTACACACTAACAGGTTGGTCAGCCTTGGAGTGGTATACCAAGGATCTAGACCGTTTGGTAAAAAGGGCGTAGTGACCGGGTAAAGTATTTTACTATTTAATACCCCCGGCCCGTACAATATTATTACACTTTCTTAGTTTCGATAGAAAACTGAGAGGGTATTAGTTTTACTATGATGTGTGTTTTGCTTGTGTCTATCCATATCTGTACCTACTGGACTGTTATTGTTCAACGATACGCCAAAAGATCAAAAAATATATCTNTATATTAATTCAAAAATTTGAAACTTTAAATGATTATATCTAATAAACGAATTAAGTTATATTAAAAATTCAAATGCCATTTACTATTAAATTAAAAACTCAAACATTTTATTAAATTAAAAATATGTGTTACCATTTAAAAAAACAAAGTTGACCCCCTTCCAAGGCATAAGGGATGAACTTAAAAAGTATTACATAGTTAAAAATTCAAGAATAATGTGTAACTAAAAATAATGAAAAAAAAAAATGTTTAAATTATTATTATTCTGTAAGTAATTGAGTGGGTTATGATAGAAAAATCACCCTGTATATATATATATGTACCTTTTAAATGTTTAAATATACTAATGAAATTTCGTAGAAAAAAAGCATATATTAATTACATAAAACAAATAATAAACAACATGTAATGGTAGCACATAAGATGAAGGGTAATAAACTATGTCTAATTTATTATATAAGATATAATAGTATTTTATAATATGTAGATCATTATTGATGAAAATGTAATAAATAACATGTAATAAATTACGATTAATAAAGAAATAATAGTGGCGTCGGGGATCACTTCTTGCCTTTGAACTACGGTCAAATTTAATATAAAAAGCCAAAAATAAATGGCATTCTGAGACAGATGCAATTAGATATTTACAGAGGCACTCACTACGCTCGATCATTCCACACTATGAAATATATGCAAGAAGTGATCCGCCGTCAACATAATTATATTTGTACGAAAAATACAACATCTATTTATTTAAGAGTATCGCAGAAAATATCAAGATAGGAATTTAATAAATTCACCAAAAATAAATAAGGTTTAGAATTAAATTTTATGAGTACATAGATTAAGTAGGCATACAGGAAAATCAAGTGATTATCAATAATAATAAATATACCAAGTAAATTTAATAAATCGATAATGTTTGTACAGAATTACTTGGCAGAGTTATATCGTTGATACGTGTCTATTTCAGGAGTTAGGTTGGAGGTTCATATGCATAGCCACCATACCACTCTGGGTAGATACACGAGGTGACTCAATCCCACGTATCATCGATAACCGTCAAAACTCGTGGCATTATTGATATTTAAGAATTGACAATTAATTATAATAAATCCCATATTAATAAAATAAAGATCACTTTATTTTTCTATCATCTTCTATCTTTCTTACAGACCCTCGTACTCATACCCCGAGTAATAATATTATTAATACAATAAATTAGTGGATCAAATAAGAATCCAAATCCCGTCATATTCTATTTAACTTATTTCTTTTAAGCAACTGTCAAAGTAGCTCCCTAAATTAATAACCCCCTTTTATATCATTAATACAATAAAGAGTACTATTATTTTTATTTTTTTGAGTCACTACAAGATTAAAATATAATTTATTAGAAACAAACCTATTTTTTTCTTTAGAAAAATGGGAGATGATAGTTTTTATGATTTTTTACCATTGTCACCCAGTGCACAAACTCTTGTAAAAAAATTTCTTCAGGATTTAAACAACCAATAATTCAAAAAGAGTTTATTTTTAATAGTATTATTTTACAATGAAATTAGTACACATATTTAACTAATTTAGGTATAATTTAAACAGTCGTAGAATAATAAATATTGAATATTTTTTAATAGTTTGAAATCAATCAAACACATGTTATTTGCCTGTAATGTTTCAAATCTTGTATTTAAAACTGAAATTATAATGGTTTTTTTTCAGGATTTCACTTTGAATGTAATTTTTGCAAAAAAAAGAAATTATTCCAAATTAAATGATTCTCTAAGTATAAATACTGCAGTTGTTACTGCTACTTTGAATACTGGTCAGGGGTTTACAAATTTAGAACAGTTTTCTGCTGTACTAAATATGCCTTGTATGAGTATTAAGACGTATCAAAAATATCATGATTATATTGCTAAGCAAACTGAAAAAACTGCATGGGATTCGATAGAGTTAGCGGGAAAAGAAGAAACTAAGCTTGCTATTGAAAATGGAGAAGTGAATGACAAATGACTTCCCATTATGGCTATTAAAACTAAAATATTTTAGTGCATAAATAATGTATTTTTTGTAAATTGAATTTTTATAATTAAAATTAGTTTTTTTATAGTTTTATAACTTCAAAATAATCGATGTGGATCTCATATGATTTAACCTGTTTTCTGTAAATATTTAGTTTTTTCTTTCTCGTCAAAAATAAATAGTTTAATTATATTTATAATCAATTAAAATTTGTGAAATCATGACGCGTCTATTAGTATTTACAGTGAGGCTGGTGCTAAACTATAGTTTTTATACTACATAAAATAAACGTGTGTCGTTTTCAATACAATCGGTATTGCATCAAAAAGTAAGGTAGGTACACAACCGGTTCAACTATAACACGACGAAAATACTCCCAATAATGGACACTCACACTAATAATCATTTATTTCTCACACGACACTGCGTAACATGATTATAACCGCAAAATTGCCTATAATCGACCCCTGAAAAAAGGTCGGAACCCAGACGCCTTAAGATTTTTCACACGTAGCCGACCGACCATATGCCAATTACAATTTATAACATCTCTAAAGAATATATTTTAAGGTAGATAAAGTACCTAGTTATTCTTATACGAATAACTTAAATATCTCATTCATACACTACATAAATGCGAAAAATATCTAAGTGTTTACTTGTATGATTGGATTATATTTTTTAAAAATTTTAAGCGTATGAAATTAGGAAATTTATATAGACAACCTAATCGACACGTACACGCGAAATCGGTGTATTCGACTATTAAAACATAAAACGGTTAAATGGTACCAGGAGTTCATGAATAATAGTCGTATTTTTGAGAGCCGCCATTTTATGGCGTATAAGAGTGTTGGCCGATTCAATATATTGAAAAACAGTACCATGGATTCAGAAGGTTAGTTTTCATTTACTCAAGGGTAGTGATGGTACATTATGACGGTCGGTTTCTACTCTTGTAGTTGTCATTAGCATACCACGCAACGTATTGGTTAATGGCACAGAACTGCTATTCACCTTTGAATCAATTACAATCATATAATACTAGGATAAATAATAATTAATGAATTATCCTTTCAATAACAATTACAATACACAATTAAAGAATAATTCAACTATAAAAGAAACCAATGTGCGTATTGTAACCTAATGTACATATAGGAATTTTGAAATGGTAACACGATTAACATAAATTCAACAAATTAAATAACACAACTAACTGAACCAATTACTAGTCCCTAACATAGAATTATATAGAATAATTTTCTTAAATATTGATGCGTAATCCAAAGAATAGGCCGCACAAATGATATTTATACATACATACAAATTAAGTAATTGGCCGTTTTTAAATATTAACACAATTATACCAATACACAAATACGTATTGCTTTACAAAAATTGCATAAAAGACACAAAACTCGAATCAAAAACAGAGCAGTATTGGCGTACGTCGGAAACGGAACAGAAAGCGCTCTCTGTAATGTACAGTCGGAGGTGTTCTTGTCACGGTATCAAGGGGGGGGAAGTTCTTTTCGATAAATTTCATTAATTTTAAGTATTAGATATATCATATTATATAGATTAAAGATACTTAGATTAATAAGAATTTGTCGGTATTACAAAATAATGATATAATATAAATTCAAATAGTATTTATTGTTATTTTTACATGAATCAATATGTAATATGTTACGAGTTTTATTAAATTCTATGCAGCGTGACTGAAATCTAACTGATAACTTTTATCAGATATATTAGGAGATGATGCAGTTTTGGGACTGTTAAGATCTTTCTCTCCCTCACATAAAACTATCGTTAACGTCTTTTTTACAACACGAGTAGCATGTTGACACGGCACCGCCTTTTGCTCTAGGCTGGCGCTCGCCCGTGTCTCTCTCGATACCAGCCGTCCAGCTATTAATATGACAATCGGTTGTCTCCCCGCCCTTGACACTGAGATAAGGCCGCCGTCGAATATGGATTACGGATATTGCGTTTTGTTCGTTTTTCGACGCTGACCTGAACTGGTTTTTCGCTGTGCACGAGTTGTATTATTATAGAGTTTAACGCTGATTTTGTTGAATCATTATATATAGCTGTGACTTTTAATTACGGTTTTGTGCGGAACAATATTTTATAGAGCTGTTACTTTTAATTACGGTTTTTTTTTTTGTGCGGCACGGTACTCATAACCATTAAGAATATAGGAAATATACAGGGTGTTCAGTAAGTCAGGAAACGGGTTTCTATTGTTCTCATTGTTTGTAACAATGAGAACAAAAGAAACCCGTTTCCTGACTTACTGAACAAACTGTATATACATATGTATATATACATATAAATATAGATATATTTTTATTTGAAAGTGGAACTTAGAATCGTAACATATTGTGTGGTGTTCATCATTACCTGTTGGATTATGCATTAATGTACATAATCCTACAATACTACCAATATACACATGTTGGAATATTCGTGTTTAAATTATAAAAAAATTATGTTCAACTAGGGAAATACGGAGGAAAATGGACACCTGGAGAAATGGGTTAGCCAGTCACTTACAAATGTTGTCAGTTACATCTAATACACTCAGTATACATCAAGGTCATTACATTTTAAACACAAAATGTTTAAAATATCAAAAATTTCATCAGTTTTTTGACAACACTGATATACAAATAAAAGTTGATTAATTTATCATGACCCACTTAATTAATCGGAAAGTTAAAATAATATAGATAATTTTATTATTGGTTATATGTAGTTATATGATTTTTAGTCGCCATTTTTTTAGTATGCATGAAGTTGGCCGACCCCAAGTAGTTGGGATTAAGGCAAGGAAAAAGAAAAAGAGTATGTTTAAAATAACAAATTTTCGATAATCCGTCCAGTTCTAAAAACAAGTTATTTCAATATAAAGTGAAAACTAAAAATATTATGAATGTGTTAAAGCTTTCATGGATTGTCTTGTAGCTTGAAGTGCTTAAGGATTTATCCATGTTTAGTTGCAGCCACCGACTAGCAAACATCACTCTACAGATGGACACTTCAATTAGTCANAAACATCACTCTACAGATGGACTCTTCAATTAGTCCAAAACGTCAGAACTTAACTGCAAACATGGATAAATACTTAAGCGCTAAAAATATCAACAATGACTATTTTATAACAACTAACATTTTTTATAACATTTTGTTTTATTTTGAAAATTTAGTGAAATATTTCAAAATTATGGCATTAATATAGTTTCAACTGATAGGTTTTGTTATATTTTACCGTATTATTGAGAAAATTTAGTACAGTTAGTACGCTATAATTGTATATATGACATACAAAAAAAAAGGAACAAGGCAGTGTAAATTCAATGAAATCAGAATAAGAATGCACAAATCGGAACAACTAGGCGAATCTCTACTATACCCAACAAAAATAAAAAAAATTATTCAGTTTTTGAAGAAAATTATTCATACCAATTTTTTAAAGCCTGTAAAATATTATTGTAATTAAATTACTATGCTTAAGTAAATAATAAAAATAATGAATCTAATAACGTTTGTTGTTATTAAATAACTTAAATTTATTTTGAATTTTATAAGATCAATCAAAAAGAAACCTATTTTTTTAAATTCACTATCATTTATTGTCAAACAAAAGAAACCTTTTTTCTTTATACGAATAATGAAAAAATTCTAAATCCCATTTTTGCGAAATGGTAGCTTTTGGATATAAGCCACAGAATTAATGCTCACAATACAGAAGTATGAAAACATAGTTAATATTTTAGAAAATGAAAAATGTTCATCGTCATATACTATTATCTACTAATAAATCTATTTAACAGTATTTTTCGGTTTATGTGCAACAAGATGACGGGAATAAAATAATGTTATAATTCATTTCAGTATTTTTTAATTTTACGGTTGGGATATAGGTCAATCCATTCCAAATCATCCAAAAGTAGTTGCACGACCACCTCATATTTTTCTTAAATTTTCAGGGTTTATTATTTATGCTATAATTAGATTAAAACAATTTTTTTTTTTTTTTTATGACCTTCCGATTTTTATAGCTATAATAATATATATAATAATTACATTGTATTGTAATATACTACATATACAGTAATATATAAAAAAAAATTATAAAAATATGGTTTGAAAACAACAAAAAAGTATCATTAAATTACATGATTTTGAACGGATTTTTACTGATTTTCTAACGCTAAATTTTACATGTTAAACTTTTTTCTCAAACTTCAAATTTTTACGGTGTATTAAGCAGATATATAACTAAAAAATTAAAAAAAGTGTTCGAAATTAGGTCCCCCAACAGGCATAATGCACCTAGAATACGTGTCTTTTTATAAAATTTCTGACTTTGTAGGCCTTTAAATCCCAAGAAAATTGTTTTAAATATTTGAAATTTAGTTGAAACATAGAGTATACACTATACAATACCACATTTGAAAATCACTATAAAATAATAACTACTTAATGGTTTTAGGTGAGCTCAAAAACGTCAATTTTCTCAAAAAAAGCACCATTTTTAGAAAGTCATTAAGTTTGAAATTTCACATAAATTTTTTTTTTTTTTTAATGTTAACTTTAAGTTATAATAAGGTCAATCCTAAAATTTTAAGTCGATTGAGTTAATATTGAATAATCTGTGTGTTTTTTAACGTTCCGGCTATTTTTAACATTTTTACATTGAAATAGCCATAAAAATCGGAAGATCTTAAAAAAAAAAAAAAAAATTGTTTTAATCTAATTATAGCATAAATAATAAACCCTGAAAATTTAAGAAAAATATGATGTGGTCGTGCAATCACTTCTGGATGACTTGGCGTGGATTGACCCATATAGAAGAACAATCGATAGACAAAATAATTTCATTAATATTGTAATACATTTCAAAACATTTAATTTCTATAATTTATAAATGTAAAAAACAATAATAAAAAGGTTTGAGGTGTGGGGAGGATTATTAT